TGGCTCCTACAATTTTCGGTTGGATTCATATCGTAATTTTCCTCTCAAATTCATCGTAATAAATATTTATGAGTTCGCGTTTTTTATCGTTTACACATTCCAAAAAAGTGGAAGTGTGATATTCTATTAAATACTTATTGCAACACAATCACCTATATTTGGTAACCAAAAACATATTTTCCTCGTCTCTGAGATTTTTTTCTCCGACATTTAGGAATAAGGGTTAAATACTAGTCATATCCTTAGAACACGTAAACGCAACCAGCTTTTCGTAATTCGCATAAGTCAACAACCATGTTTGGATTTTAGTTGACGACGGGCTGGTAGTGGTGAAAGTTGTTAAAGTTTTAAGTGTTATTCTGCCTATTGGCTATTGCTATCGGGCTCGAAAGGATGACGTCACGGCACCGAATCGCCAGATGCATTGTGGGATCGGCCGCCATATTTGTAGCAGGGTCTAGCTTTTGACTAGTACGTGTTAAATCTATTGCGAATTTGCGATCGTCTCTTTTTTGAAGTTTTTGGTTGAAAATGGGACGCTAGTTACTGCACCGTTGTAGGATGTACCAGTCGTTTTCACGGCCATTTAAACAGAAAACTATATAATGGAATGCCTCTATTCAGCTTACTAGCCGTGAATGCCGTGTATATGAATATGATCGTAGCTATCAGTTTATGGCTCGTACTGAATCTACTGAAGTACTGATATACGTATGCGTAGTCGCATATCAGTTTAGTGAGTTTGCCAGCCGTGAATATTTACTACATACAAATGATACAATACTATACATTTTCCAGAGGCAAAATCTGTTAGTTGCCTTTAGATAAGCTACATAAGTAAGAATAAAACGTAATAATATTTACAGATCAGATATAATAAAAAATATCTATCAAACAAGAGACATCCAAATTATTCTATAACAAACCTAATGTACTATACAATTGAAATAGTTTGTCCACTTATGATCCAACCTTTACATTTATAGTCAGTAATCAGTAACATGGCAGAGCACTGTATCAAAGGAAAGCTTTTCACCTTGGGTGGAAAGCATTTTTATAAGTGAACTTCCAATCTTAGAATTCCAGCCTGGTTGTTGCAGTTGGCTGGTTTGTTGGAAGATCAAAATGATTTGCTTTGTTCTATAACATCAAATGTTTTGAGTTCTTTACATTGCCTTTCAATTTCTATATAAATTGGTTTTAAACGTCAAGGTTTCTGGTGAATTGGTCTGTTGGTCAGTTCTGAGGTCTGAGGTGTTACATGAGCGCATGCACGTCCAATATCTTGTTCGGTATTACTATGAGGCTCATAGTAATACCGAATACATAGGCTATGCATTATACTGCATAGCCTATGCAGTATGAGCCGTCCGAACCCTGGTTATCTGGTAAGCATTGATAAAATTCTATCCTTTTCCTCTTCAAAAAGGTGAAAAGGTATTTCATTTTCCATTCTTGTAGAAGGTTCCATTCATCAGCATCATTATCTTTGTCCAGTTGTACTACCAAACTAACTCTACCAAGTATATTGCCTTTCTTGATTCGTTGAAGTTTCATTTCTCCATCACCTGTACCCATAGTCCACTATGCAGAGGGTGGATGCAGCGTCGGCAATATATGGATTTTTGAGCCCAAAGCGTCGCCGGCCATTTTAAAGATGCGTCGCCGGGTAATTTTTAATGAAAAGCCATTTACGCTGAGTAATGTGACCACCAAACACCAAATAGTTTAGTAAATCACCGTGTTAAACGGGAGGCAGGCTTGCAAAATCTGCACATCACAGCTTTACTGGCACTTTGTTAGCATCAACATCGTTAATGCCAGACAATTTTCTTAAATATCGGTCTCTCACTGAAGGAAGGAGTTTTGACAACAGCCTAATCCTTTCGGCTTTGTTCTTTCTTTCTCCATTGCTACCAAAATGTCCAAATGTGTTGGAACAAGAGAGTAAGCTGAGGCGCCAGTGTGATACAAAGATGGCGCCATCATGGCGGCATAGCAACGCGGCTAACGTGGATATGCGGGAGCTTGGCAAGCCCGATTGGTCGCCAAGAGATAGTTGCGACTTGCCTTTGCAACAAAAGCACTTGAGTGAAAGCCAGTGAATTGCGTTCTTTGAAACAACCCAAATTTTTTAGTTAAAGTTTTAATATATGACAAGTCGACCTTTTATTGAAATAATTATGATCTTTAGATTGATCTTTTAATTAACCCAACTGGGACTAGCTTCCTCCCTTGGCTTGACTTGGAGGCTCCAATTCTTAGAGGTTTGCCTGTTTCAGCATGCTGTGCTCAATTTTTTTTTTAGTTTTTGATTTTTCAACTGCCATCAAGGCATCATGCATCTATCAATGCCAAATTGTCAATGTTGTCTTCTGCATTTTGGCCTCTAAAGGAAACAAAGAAATGACCCATTTTAAAAATGAATTAGAGCCACACATGATGCAATTTTAGAATCTAGGATTGGCACCAGCCCACCAGGACCGATACTGCCACTGTGCAGAGAGTGGATGAATAGTATTGCAAGATCTTTGGCGAAGCTTCAGTAGCAAAATTTACGCCTTCAGAAGATCTTGCTGGCACATTTAGATTGAAATTCTTGCATTTAATATACTAAACAGTTTTTGGCCAACTATTTAGAAAAAAGTAAGGTTTCCGATATGTTGGATGGATCAGGATGCAGTGAAGCTTGTCTGGAAATCAGTTGCGATGAGTTCCCGCCAAAAAAATTTAAACATCAAGTTTACGATTATGTAGTTGCACTGTTGCGGTCACATTAGAGCGGTCAGACTGCATTATCGCATGTTCAGTTGACACTTGTTGTACAATCAGACTGTTTTTAGGGTAAAATTAGTTATTTGGGGTAACACATGCATGCAACCTTGTAAATAAGTTTGTGGCTTGTAAATAGTTTTTCATTACTCAGCGTAAATGGCTTTTCATTAAAAATTACCTGGCGACACATCTTAAAATTACCTGGCAACACATCTTAAAATTACCCGGCGATGCTTAGGGCTTAAAAACCCATATATTGGTGATGCTGCGTCCACCCTCTGCACCCTGGGCCAGGCTGTAAAATATGGCCTTTCAGCTCAAGATATCGGCATCTTTGGAGCATCATCATCAGCCACCTTGCCCTTACATTGGCATCTTTGGAGAATCTTCATCAGCCACCTTGACCTTACATTGGCATCTTTGGAGAATCTCCATCAGCCACCTTGACCTTACATCGGTGTCCAATTAGAACTGATTCAACTGAAATTGCAATCTTCATCTTTCAAATGAGTTAAAATAGCGGTCTTCATTTACAAGACCTTCCTTCGAATAAAATGGTCACCAGGGGCCGTATTATCAAATTTTTTAACTTTTTGTACTTCCGACAAAAAAGTTACATGTTACGCAAGTACACCCTAATTTTGGCATTATCAAAACATTGGTACGTAAGAATTAGCTAAAAGCATATTATCAAAACCATCTGGCCAACTGACCAATCAGAGGCTTTGGATTTGTATACATTCTGTGAACTTCCATGACGGGAATCGATGCCTTTGATGGTATTGACTATCAAATGTTGTCTGTTGGTATTGAGTCAGTATTACTCCTGTCTCTTATACACATCTAGATGTGTATAAGAGACAGCAATTTGCCTTCTCATCTTACTATGTATGCATAATGCATTCAGTATTACATAACGGTCATGCTTCCAAGTATGCGGTGTCTCGTACAAATATGTACATTACCATAGAAGACATATTAGGCTCACTGCGAATTTCGGTCCGTATGACAGAATAACTTCGAAACGAAGACAATATCTAAAAATGATCATGGCCCAAACATCACTGTCATGACTTAATAAATGCATGTGCAAAGTTTCATCTAGCTATGATCATTAGTTTGGGAGAGATTTCAGGCTTACTGAAAATTATACAATCGGCTACAGAAGTGCTAGGTAGTCGTTTCTCCGCATAACATGCTTGCGAAGGAATGCATAATAAATGTTAGATGGTTAGACATGAATATTCAAAGTTAATTCAAATTTGTACATTAGGTATATTGGGCTCACCGCGAATTTAGGACCGTATAACTCGTAAACTAAGGCGGAATGTAAAAAAAAATATTGCGACCTAATCATCACCGTTGGATCTCACTGAACACGTGTGCAACGTTACATCTAGCTGCGTTCATTAGTTTCACGTTGAATTCTCAGCACCAGCCTTCTTGGGCATCTGGTGCTTTGGTCAGAGCTTGTGGTATTTTTCTTTAGAGCTTGTCGATGATGTCCTTCTTTGACAGTTNTTTTATCCCATTTTCAGATTAATTCAGGAGCCTTTTATATTGCGTCTAGCACCTTACAAATAGCATATAGATTTTTTTGGAGATGCCATATGATAGGCCTTGCAAAGACTGTTAAAATGAGCCCAAACTTGTTTATGAAATGTTTCATGGTAAGAAGTTATAACAAAAAACGCTCAAAACCGTCTCTTTTTACCCCGTTTGACGGTATATTTAAGGCATGGTTGTCTATGTTTTTAAGGCCTCTTCACTTCTCAGCACTGGTATCGCATTTTCCCTTGATGGTTAATTTAACATTTTTTTGCAGCTTCAGCAATATTTCCTTCTATTCCCATAGAACCTTTAATTTTATTGTCTTGCACCTACTTCCATTTTCCTAAGAGTTTATAATCAATCCTAAATATTTATCCTTGAAAAAATATTTCCCATGTATCATTATTTCATTCATCCATCCATCCATTCATTCCAACACATTTCATCATTACTCCAGTTTAACCCAGTACTAGCTCAAGCATTACTAGAATTGGAGTGGTTCTTAACAGTTGATCTTTAAAGTAAAATAGTTTATCATTTAACCAATTTTCTTAAAATACCATTTTCTGTCAAGATACTCAAATTATATTATTGGTGTGAGCTGTTGCAGTCTCAATATTGTAATGCCACTTGACAATCGCTGAATTAATTGTTTATTGAAGTTATCATGACCAGATAATTATTGTAAACTGCCTGCATTTTAAGATTGTATTTTTGTTATGTTTCAGTTTGATTAGGTTTCATAGTCATAATGGTTGTTGATAAAGATACAGCTGATGTCGAGATGACAGAGACATCTCAAACACTCGATACGGGCAATGTAGAGCCACAACCAGACAATATTATATCAGACCCCACCAAAGTATCTCAGTTGGAGGTAAGTAACATGGCAAGCAAGACTTCGTCCAGCTCTCCTCATAAATCAAACAAGAAGAAAAATAATAAAAGAAATAAAAGTAAACAGAAGAAGGATGCTCCTCTTCAAGCTAAAATTGAAGACAAAAAAGAAGCTCGAAAACGCAAAATTGCCGAGAAGAAATCATTCAAACAAGGTGTTCCCCTGTCGGGCAAATGGTGGAAAGATAATGAAAGAAAAAAGTGAGTTTCTTATACAGTTCATGTATTTATTTCTTCACCCATGCCTGTGTTTCAATAATGAAGTTGAAGATATTGTAAGATTTACCAAAATGCCAAATTTAGTTTATTACATTATGTGCACATGTACTGTGAACTGAAATGACTAACACTTATGAATGCCTCGTATACAGGTTTTCCAGCATCAAGAACAACGACCTGAAGATATCCAGGAACTTGGCTCTCATCCAGGCACAGAGGGCGGAGAAGAAGTTCTTGCTGGAACACAAGCGCAACGCCATGGCTGAGAAGGAGGCCGAGAGGGAGAAGAAGAGAGAGAAGAGGAAGATCAACCAGATCAGGACCCTTGAAAATCAGCTCAAGTCGGAGAAATTGCAAATTGTAAGTGGTTTTGTATTGTATTTTGAGCAGGGATGTTGAAAGTAGTTTGTTCAACTTTTCGTAAGGTTTCTGTTATAATTTTTGTTATGGCCTGATGCTAAACTGGTGAAATTTATTCTCTCTCCAACCAGTTTAATGATGAATTAAATTTCAAATGATATATAAATGTAGAATTATTTTTACAACACTGAGGGTTCTATGTAATTTTTAATTCGCGTTTTATTAATCAATTTTTACATTATTAATATGTATACCTTATTTTCTACGCTTTTAAACTGAAGCATGGTATTTTTCCACACTATGTATGAACTTTATTATTTCATTACATTTCTATCCTTCGTGGAAATGAGAAAAACTAAATATTTCTCCGTGTTCCTCGCAGATCAGAAATCCTCACACAATCAAGAATATGAAGAGAAATCAACGAAAATCTATCGAGACGAGGGACCTGAGTTTGATCAAACCTCAGAATATTCAGAACTAAATTTCAGTCGCTTGAGTTCGTCTTTCATTGTCTCCTAATTTAATGGGACTTAATGCAATGCCATAAAATTTTTTGAGGGATCCATCTTTGGCTTGACTCGGCTGATCAAAACATGATCGATGTCATGCGAGTATTTGAATAAATGCTGGAAACGGGATTTACTTGTACCCGAGAAAGAAATGCTATTTGAATATCATTGTCATCCATTTCCATTTAGGGTAAAACGTGAGAGCTTAGAACGGTAGCTACCGTCGTGAAGACTTATTTACTCCTATTTTCTGAGGCATTAGTAATCCGAGCTGTTAATTTTAAGAGATTTACTATTATCAACAGCTTAACAGAAAATTATAATGGAATGTTATCATCATAATGAATTTTATTCATATACTTTGATTAGCTGCTGCTTATTGTGTAATGGAGTTGACGGAAAACAGGGTTGATCAAACGACAAGAGTACACAGTGCGCTGTCAAGATGCCCGGTGCTTGACTCCATATCTCGATCAACCTCTAATCTCTGACGCCTTATCTCTGAAGTAGAGTCCGAGGTTCCAATTCTCACTCCTGCTGTTGCGACGTCGAAATTATAATTATGATGAAACAGTGGAGTCTTTCGAACTGCGGAGCGTTGAATAAACAGGGTAATTCACAGAAATTTCCTGATTTTAACGATCAATAAAAAAGGACCAGTAAAGTTACCATCACAATGTAAGTTTTATTGCAAAAGGCATTAGCTGAATTTTTGTATTACTTAGTTTTAAAGATGACATCGAACAAATGACGGCCCCATTGTTAGTGCATTCAGTTATTCGATTTTTGGAGTTCCGTTCAACTCGCTTAAGCATATTGAGGGGTATGTTGCGACTTGCGATGGCTTGGCGTATGTTGTTCTTCAAACGAGGTAGGGTCCTTGGACAGTCATTGTAAACAATTGATTTAAGAAAATTCCACCAAAAAATCACACGGAGCCTAATTGTGGGATCGGGCCGGCCAAAGAAGATCACCGCTAAAGATGAGGTCATTACTTACGAAGGCCTATGCTTCAGCAAGTTGAGAGGAACTTCACAAATGGGCTAACTTAATGCAATGGGCCGTCCATTGTCCGATGTCATCTTTAGAACTAAGTGATACTAAAATGCGGGCAATGTCTTTTTTCAATTGAATTTGTATTGGAAAGAACTCTTAATTTTCAGATCAGGAAGTTTCCGTGAATCACCCTGTATAGGCTAAAAACCGTTGAAACACCGCCAACCTTCTAGAAACTCCACACTACTAATCGAACATGGCTCAATTTTATTTATAGAATAACACAGCCTAAAAGTAATTTTTCGCTCATTATAGAGTTTTTATTGTGACCTATTCGCTATGTAAATAATTACAATTAGCGCTGTAAGTATGACAGGACTCTTGTCCCACGGCCATGAATTTACGTGGTTGAATTAGCAAGTGGTCGTGTTAGCGAGCAGCTGTCGAGCTCAAAATTAAGTATTTTGCATTATTTCGACAGATGCATTCTAATCGGTCGTTTGCTTTAGTATCTCGAAAGCACTTAAGTTGAACAGTTACAGAAAAGGAGAACAAATATAATTCGAATTAAAGTTGTTAAATGGCTGCTCGCGCTAGCCCTGAGATCGGCAGAAGTATGTAAATAGGGAGAAATGGTGGGAAATGTCAACAGAATTTCTTAACTTCAGCGAGGACGGTTCCTTGATAGCGACCAGAAAAGTTTACTGTCAATTATAACCTACTTCATTCTCTTCATTTCTTACATGGACAAAATGTGGCCAACGGAATAATGTTGTTTTAACCATAGTTCAAATTTATGGCCTCGGCGTATTGATTTGCGTTGGTCAGATGTCTGAAGAGAAGCGTATGGGGAGGATGACGCAAGAGTGCATGGCTTAAAACTTGTCATAAATGATTACGCATCAACGGCGAAGAATTAGGAATAAGTTAGTTCTGAATTTACTTTTTTCTTATCCATGTTATCTTTCATTTGCTCACGGAAACTGATGAAATGAATATCAAATCGACCTACAACCAATATTTAAAGTTCACACCACAACTGATAGCGAGATATCAATAAGGCAATACTTTAATTCAGTCATTGGAACTGTAAGAGCTTTAAAATTCTTCAGAATTGTACGCATTTACTTTATTATCCTCAGCAATTACACCAACAAGCGATCAAAATAAGTACGCAGCAAACTCATATTAACTAAAAAAGTGGACCAATGAAAATTAAATCGTTTACGGTAATTAAACTAGATGACTAAGTATCTTTGACATGGCTGTGAGTTCAGTTCTTATTTTACAGAGGAAAACTTCTTCTTGTAGGGCATACAATTAAGCTTGAGGTAGCGTAATCATTTAGAGAGCATTCCTTATCATATACCCATCAACACTCTTGACTCTAGGGTGCAGAAAGATATGGGTTGCGCGAGAGGTCACGAACAGCGCTGACAAGCATGTCTAATTATTTCAATAACTATTGGTGGAAAAATGTTAAGATCTGTTGGTGAAATTGTGCCGAAACCTGTTGGTGAAATTATATCGAGACCTGTTGGTGAAATTATATGAGACCTGTTGGTGAAGTTGTGTCGAGACCTGTAGATGGAATAATGTTAAGACCTGTTGATAAAATTGAGTCGAGACCTATTGGTAAAATTGTGTCGATACTTGTTGGTGAAATTGTGTCGAGACCTGTTGTTGATATTGTGTCGTGACCTGTTGGTGAAATTATATCGAGACCTGTTGGTGAAATTGTGTCGAGACCTGTTGGTGAAATTGTGTCAAGACCTGTTGGTGAAATTGTGTCGAGACCTGTTGGTAAAATTGTGTCGCAATCTGTTGATGAAATTGTGTCAAGACCTGTTGGTGAAATTGTGTCGCAATCTGTTGATGAAATTGTGACAAGACCTCTTGGTGAAATTGTGTCAAGACCTCTTGGTGAAATTGTGACGAGACCTCTTGGTGAAATTGTGTCAAGACCTCTTGGTGAAATTGTGTCAAGACCTGTTGGTGAAATATTGTCAAGACCAGTAGGTGGAAAAATGTCGACACCAGTTGGTGGAATTATGTCCATAACTGTAGGCGGAATTATATAAGTCAAGACCTGTCTATAAAACTATGACGAGGCATGTAGGTTGATTTATATCAAGACGGTCGATTAACATACCCTTCCATGAGTCGATTGCGTTTTCCTTACTTTGTTGAAACGAAACAGTGTACAGCTTCAATAGATAGCTAAAAACGAAATTTTACGTACGAAATTCACTGCGACTTTGAAAATATGGCTCAATGAGATTTGGCTGTAATTATCCAATTTTACACCTTAGTATCGCAAATCTTTCACCGTAACGCAGCCGCGTAAGCTCTACGAACCATTAATTTGATTTGCCAATTTACATTTCATTGATCACTCTGCTTATTAAAATGGGTTAAAACGGGTTCCAACCCATCGACAAAGTCGACCTTGTATTCTATCAGTAATTTTTTAGTTTAATACGAGCTATTTTCAGATGAAATTCCATTTGATGATTCACAGAATAAACAACTGTTGATTTAATGATTAAATTGCTTCATCAAAATAACGCATCAATGAAAAATCTACAACTAACTACTCAACTATTTGAATCATTGATTTCCGTAACTTCCACCATAGCACAAAATATTCCCCCAATTTGAAATAACTTTCGGAGGGTTATCTCTCAAGTGAGAGAGTTTATGGGTTGCAAATAAATAAATATTTAATATGAAAACGCTAAAGAGCTTGTAGGCGTTACAACTTTATAGATCCTACAGATTAAAAGAAGTGAATATTACAATCCGTTTCCCGTTCATCAACGAAAATTCCTAAATCGCATAAATAAATTTTTCTCAATTGAATACTTTCCCTAGTTATTTTAATAAACTTTACTTACATCGCAGTTAGTAAAACAATAATTGTATTCGGTGCTCGCCGATTGGTGGTCGAGGTAAAGTCGCACCACGCACTCAGCTCAGTGGGAGAAATGATCGAGACTGTCCAAATTGCGATGCCCATTTCGCCCTTCTAGATCTCATCCTGACGCAGTTAGGCCCTGCAAGAGGGCGTATCAGGGCTCCTTTTAGAGAATGTATCAACATTTTGACAATATGGCACATCTATTTTTCTGAGTAATTACTGAAATGATCGAGACTGTCCAAATTGCGATGCCCATTTCGCCCTTCTAGTTGTCATCCTGATGCAGTTAGGCCCTGCAAGAGGGCGTATCAGGGCTACTTTTAGAGAATGTATCAACATTTTGACAATATGGCACATCTATTTTTCTGAGTAATTACCGGGGCGCAGGTGCGGCGATGAGAGACATGGGACATTGGGACGAGGTTGGGGCAACAGCTCGCCCGAACAGCAACAGAAAAAGAAAAAATTGGGAATAATTGTTCCAATTGTCCGGTTACAATGTTTGCCTTCGTTATGAGAATAACAAGAGTTCAGTAATGAAGAAATAGCTTATCATTAGTGATTAGTGATATCATATCCATTTCTATTTCTTCTCAGCATATTTTTAAATCAGTTAAGAAGAGCATCCTTAAATCACATTTCGACACTGAATTATATATAAAGATGATAAAATTAAAACAGCTCAGTGCACAGCGTGTATTCAAAGAGTGTTCGAAAGTTCAATAAATTGTGAATTGAAGCATTTCACGACTTCTTCTTGCAGTTATGGAATGTTTATGATGCGATGCATCCATTTTCCCTATCTCTTTTAATACCCAACTATTTAGGCATGAAGCACAAGGAAATATAAACGAATTTCTGTATTAAATTAATGATAGAAATATGGTTAAATCAATCGTTTTATTCAATAAACGTATTTTTCGATTCATCGACGTCTTTATTAAACAGGTATGTGACACTTTTTGGATACTCATATACAACGAAATATTTATGGAATGTAATCGCAAAAACGACAGAAACTATAATATCATATCACAATATCTTCAGCGTTGGAGAAATAGGCCTGTTTAG